CCCAGCTAGCAAGGTCACGTGATAATGACGTGAATTTTTGGTACAAATAACGTCAATTATGACATAAAAGTAACGTTATTCTGACGTATATATCACGTGATTATGTCACATCTTATTGACGTTATTTATTACGTCAGGAAGACGTAAATATGACTAAAAAGTACTATTAGTGTCACTACTAGTGCAATAATGCAGTAGTAAATTCGTATATACTTCGTGTAGAAATTTAAGTAGAATACCGGTCAGTTTTCCCTAATTACTGAAAAAAAAAATTTTCTCTAAATTCGAGAATTAATTTTTTTTATGATACATCCCAAACGGTCACCCATCCGAAGTTGTACCACGACCTCGCATGCTTAACCTTGACAATCGTACGGGAACTGCTGTACTTCGATGATCCACGAATCTGTATGTTAATGTCTGTATAATTGTGATATATCTGTTCAATGGAAATATTGAAAACAGATGGTTATGTGTTTATATGATAGTGTATGTATTAGTATATGTATCATTTCCGCAAGTGTAATGCGCATGACATATCATTTTATCCTTATTTTTCATCGAATATTAAAGGATAAAATGATACATCAAATAATAATACACAAATAATAACAAAAAATAATTAATTAGTAATGGTCATATATATGACGTCAATGTAACATCTAGTTGACGTCATATCGGTGACGTCAACTTTTGGTATTACAAATGACGTTAAAATAACGTTCCATTTATGTCACTTGACGGCATTGTCATCAAAATCACTTCATAATCACGTCATTATCACGTGAGCTTGCTAGCTGGGTGGTTATGTTGGTAGCTATGAAGAGACGGCACAGTTGAACTCAGCATTTTAGCTCTTCTCTTCTTTTTCTAAATTTAAGTGGCCCAGGTCACAGTATATACAGGCTGTGTTCCAAAATTGTTTGCCAGCGCTGGCAGCACTGTCAACACCGTTCCAAAAACCATCGTAGCACGCTGTGGCAGTGCTGCGAGAGAGCAAAGCGTCACTAATTTTGTCGTCACTTCCTGATGCGGCTGCTGCGGCTATCAAGGTGAGGCAGCTACAGCACAAGATGACGGATAAAATGATGGAGTTGGTGTTAATTGACGCTGAGAGTAACACCGAATATAAATTAATTGTTTCGGTAGAAGATAATGAGAAAGCAAAAAGTAGTGAATAGATTAATAATTTTTTTGTTGTCTCTCAGCTTTTTGTAGTCACACTTATTTATTCATACTTCGAATTCAAATATAAAAATTGACATAACCTATGTATAAGAGAAAATCAGAAAGTAAATTTATTTATTTTATTTATTTATTTTTTATTTTTTTATTTTTTTATTTTTTTATTTTTTTATTTTTTTATTTTTTTATTTTTTTATTTTTTTATTTTTTTATTTTTTTATTTTTTTATTTTTTTATTTTTTTATTTTTTTATTTTTTTATTTTTTTATTTTTTTATTTTTTTATTTTTTTATTTTTTTATTTTTTTATTTTTTTATAATTGTTCATTTAATAATTCCAATAAGAACCGAAAAGTTAGTCGACTGAGACTATGGAAAAAAAACAAGAACACATTATTATCACGTTTATTGAGTTTAAACTGTATGTTATTAATATAATTAAATAACTTACCGAAAATGACTTTTAAAATAAAATCAGCATCGATATATTGCCAAACAACATCTTCGACATAATTTTTACAATGTACATACCTTCGGTATTCTTGGTTGACGTTCATAATAATTATGTATCATTTCTGCTAATTCTAAATCTGAATCACTAGACTCTTCATCACTAGAATCAAGTGCTAACTTTATAACAGTTTCAAATAAGAATTTTTTCTGTAAGTTTTTCTGCATACTTAGGTTATTTCGCTGACGTCGCTATACGCTAACAGCACTGAAAATATCGTTCCAAAATGAAAGCTGCGTTTGCATGAAAAGCATGCTTACTAAAATTGGAACGCTATTGGTAGCATGCACTTATGACGACATACACGCAGCACTGGCAATCAATTTTGGAACACAGCCACAGTAGCGCAACTCTCCCGATTTTATGTCACACAAAATGGAGTGCGCATGCGCGAAATAAGCAAGATGCCCAGTCGCGCCACCTAAACTTCTTTCTCACTTCTTCTTATCCGTTCTCTGTCACTCTCTGTCATTTAAATGGTTCCGTTTAAAGATCCTGTGATTAGGTGTGTGCTAGTGTGTACTTAGAAAGCTCAAATTTTAAGGAAATTAGTATAATTGCCGTCTGTTTGAGTTGTGTTAGTTTGAGAAACTCCGAAGCTAGTTTGTGACCGAAAAGTTTGTGGAAATAATATAGTGAAAAAGTGGAAAAAATTAAGTGAAACGGGGAACGATTACTAAGAGAATAGTTAATCTATACAACCATTGCATAAAAATTATTATCTTATTT